ACCAGTCTTTTTTGGAGTCCATTGTTTCAGACAAAAGGCTGTGTTAAAGTGTAACAATATTTGCTCTGTGGGTGTTCTTTTTTTTTCCTGATGCAATAAGAAATGTCGTGATGATGAGTCAATCCCATCCCCCAAAGAAGCCCCCAGAATGAGCAATCTTTTAGATTAAGAAAAAAATAAGATCAGTAAGAACTTAAAAAGAATAGAGTAAGAATAGTAAACATTGGGTTGTGAGTATTATGTGTTAATTTACAGTTATAGAGTAGCAAGAGATTGGTGCGAGAGAATCTTAATGAAGAAATTAATGTCATTATGTAAATATCATAATAGTGGAGGTGTTCCATCAATTAGGGTTAAAAAATTAAAAGTTGGGAATGGAAAATTTAATCATTCTATTTGTTTATTTAATTTGTTATTTGGTTGATCCTGAAACTTTGGAAATTCATTTTAGGGTCTGGTGGTCGGGAGAAAGTGATTTAACTATGTTTTAATATTAATTTGAAACAAACGAATGTTGTTTTCAAGGTTTGTTTAATGATTATGTGGAGAACTAAGAATTGTCAAAATAGGGTCAAGTGGTCGGGAGAGAGTGCTTGAATGACCTTAATTATTTGTTTAAGATAATCCTAAGTATTATGCCTGAATGGTTAAAATATTGAAAAGAAAACAAAGGAAATTAAATTTGGGTCAGGATGTCTGGAGCTATTGGTTAAATTTTTTTAACTCAAACAGAAGCAAAATTGATTCATAACATTTTATTAAAATACAGTGAGAAATAAATATGCTGACCCAAACTTATGTATGAGTAGTCTTAACATGGCACTAAAATATGTAGAAAAGAAAAGGTATCTTTATACTAAGTGTAAGCATTGAATTTCAAATCTATTACTTAACATGGAATAGACATGATCTCGTGTTATTAGGCTATTGCAGTATTAAATTGATAGAAAAAAAAAACAAAAGGAAAAGTGAGCTATGAAATTGAATGATGAAAAATAACTGCGTCTTTATTCATATTATTTATTTTGATTTGTTATGGGATAGAACACCGATGATTTTAAGGAAAGTGGATATATTTTAGAAAATCATAGAAATGAGATAATTAGAAGATATAAATTTTATACAATCGCAATCTATTTAAAGTATTATCTATTAAAAATATAATTAAAAATTTATGATTAACATTAGTTTGTGGGTAAAGTAGTTACAGACCATGTCAACCGTCATCTGTGAAAAGGTACCCCGCCATAGAGTCGAGTTAACATGTCTAATATACTAGTGAATTGTAGTTGTAATTTTGTAGTGGTAGATACGCTACAGTACTCCCCCACCAGAATTATAGCNTCAAATTTTGATGCAAGCAAAGTACAGCTAAGTTGATAAAATTTTAACTGTTTGGAGATACATTTCCGTCTAAACAAATGTGGGTATAATGGATGAAATAATTTAAATTAAGAAAATTAGCAAATAATTTAAATTAGTGAAATTAAAAAAAATATCTGAGAAAAAATTTCAGCTTTTCTTTAAAATTCCCTGATTTTTCCTGGTTTTTATCCAAATTTCCCTGATTTTTCCAGTATAAGAAAATTCCCTGATAATTCTAGGTTTTCAAGGTTTTAAAGGTGGGTGGCCACCCTGCCTAACTGCTCTAGAAGTTTCCTGCAACATTTATATAATCCCTGTTTTATATGACGTTTTTAAACTTGTATAGTTTAACAAATAATAGACTAAAAAAGGCATTTTCAAAAAATCTGGAGCAGCAAGGAAAAAACCGATTACAGATTTGAAATCAGTGACACAAAAGTATTCAAGATAGGTTAAAAAAATCTCTTGCGACTGAAGAAAAAAAAATTGTTTCCCAGCGTTATCAATATATAAATGATCTAGTATTATTAGAATATTATCGATGAAAAAAATATTAATTTCTGATAAGTCCTTTAGAAAAAGATACTAACAAGAGCTGCTTCAGCTTCATAACCACTTGATATCCAGGCTTTAGTTCCATTCAAAACCCAAGAATCTCCTTCTAACCTAGCAGTTGTTGATGCAGCACCTGCATCACTACCATTACCTATAAAATTTATAAGTTTAATATAATTTTTTCAATACCACTGATTAATATTGTTTGAATATTTATAATTATAAGTAATAATAATAGAAATACTGTAGATCCTAACACGTAAGATGACTTTTCAAACCCCGAAATTTTATGAAGACCAAGGGGTCGACTTATACACCAGTAATAAACTTGGCGATTTTTTGATCATGAAATATTTAATTATAAACAATGAAATTTATATAAATAATTCTGTACCAGTTTAGCACTTTAAAAATTGTTTTGAATATGTTATAAACAATTAATTTTGTATTTTCTTTCTCTCATCATATCTTCGTTACGTGTAAAGGTTCTTTTTCAGAAGCAATACTTCAACTTGCATACAGAAAAAGAAAAGATAATTTATTCAAGAGTATTTCAAAACTATAACATAATAAAACCTTTCAAAACATACTATGAAGCCACAAATTTGAAAAAGTAAAATGACGGATTTATTAACCATTAGCAGCGTCGTTATACAGATTTCATTCCGTAATGGATTCTACTTAATCTACTGAGTCTCACAAGAACTATTCTTCAACTCTATTAAAAGAATTAAATTCCCAAATTTTAAAAAGATTTTCAACAAAATAGAAGCTTTCATTCTTTTTCAGCCATCATCTTATATGCCCGTAATATTAAAAATTTGCTATTTTATAAACCAAATTAAGAAATTGACTTATACATTAGGATAGACTGAATTTACTTTTTCAGTTTAAAATTGAATTTTATTTCTGCACTTTAAATGGATGCAAACAGTCTGATATCCACTTTTAAAAACACTACAAGTCTCTCTTCATATAGGGGCACAGAGATTACATTCATCAATGTTTGGAAGATGAAAATCTGTTCTAGAATGTACGCCAGTTTAAGATATATGATAGAGTCATTCAATTAGCTTTTAGTCAGTTTTATGTGGTGACTTTAATAATCATCACAAAAAATACAAATTAGATGGCCTCAATAATGCCAGTAAAGAATGACATTCCAGCCAATTTGCATTAGAATAGGAGTAATAAATTTATAAGTTTAATATCAATTTTTCAATACCACTGATTAATATTGTTTGATAATTTATAATTATAAGTAATAATAATAGAAATACTGTAGATCTTAACACATAAGATGACTTTTCAAACCCCGAAATTTTATGAAAACCAAGGGGTCGACTTATACACCAGTAATAAATTTGGCGATTTTTTGATCATGAAATATCTACTTATTATAAACAATGAAATTTATATAAATAATTCTGTACCAGTTTAGCACTTTAAAAATTGTTTTGAATATGTTATAAACAATTAATTTTGTATTTTCTTTCTCTCATCACATCTTCGTTACGTGTAAAGGTTCTTTTTCAGAAGCAATACTTTAACTTACATTCAGAAAAAGAAAAGATAATTTATTCAAGAGTATTTCAAAAATATAACATAATAAAACCTTTCAAAACATACTATGAAGTCACAAATATAAAAAAGTAAAATGACAGATTTATTAGCCATTATCAGCGTCGTTACACAGTTTATTCTGTAATTTATTCTACTTAATCTACTGAGTCTCACAAAAACTATTCTTCAACTCTATTAAAAGAATTAAATTCCCAAATTTTGAAAAGATTTTCAACAAAATAGAAACTTTCATTCCTTTTTAGCCATCATCTTATATGCCCGTAATATTAAAAATTTTCTATCTTATAAACCAAATTAAGAAATTGACTTATACATTAGGATATATGGAATTTACTTTTTCAGTTTAAAATTGAATTTTATTTCTGCAATTTAAATGGATGCAAACAGTTTGATATCCACTTTTAAAAATAGTACTAGTCTCTCTTCATATAGGGGCAGAGATTACATTAATCAATGTTTGGAAGATGAAAATCTATTTTAGAATGTACGCTAGTTCAGGATAAATGATAGAGTCATTCAATTAGCCTTTAGTCAGTTTTATGTGGCGACTTTAATAATCATCACAAAAAATACAAATTAGATGACCTCAGTAATGCCAGTAAAGAATGACATTCCGGCCAATATGCATTAGAATAGGAGTAATAGCATGTTTACATAGAAATTTAGACTCGACACAAGCTGCTTTTGATATAATAGAAAATACCAGAAGAGGAATTATATAAGACCGTGATTCAGGTCATCCTATCATAAAATTAAATTTTCCTCAAACATTTACATTAAAATGAGAGTTAAAAATCAATGGAATTTTGAAGAGGTCAATTGGGCAAAATTATTTTAAAAGGATTTGAACAAATAAACATTTTATCTTTAGAATGAATGTCTTAGCACAAACAAATATATCGAAAAACTATTGCTAGATTTATATCTTCATGCATAAAAAGTATTATATCTTTATGCATAAAAAGCAGACTTCTAAAAAATATAGCCAAATTTACAAAATTAAAAACTTGGCAAAATAAATTAATGCTATGTATATAGTAGTTTAACAGGGATAAAATATGATCCTTCCTCAAAAAATCTCTCTCTTTTTTTTTTAATGTCACTCAAAATTTTTTTATGCTTAACTCTCCAACTGTAAGAAAAAAACTTTTTTTTAAAGATAATTGGTAACATATTTGTTATGTAAAATAAAAAAAAAACTTACAATTTTTAGGAATAAAAATATTGCAAAACTAAAAAAAAAAATTCCACCTGATACATAAAAAAGTGATCATCAGTTAAATGCTTTTTTTCATTTATTAAAATTTATCAAAACATTTGATAAAATCTATCAACATTAGAAATGTTTACCTGGCTCACTTAAAGCGAAGCAGCCAACTCTGTCCCCATTTGTAAAGGGTGTAGCATATTTTTTTATTTGATCTTCCGTCCCAAATTTCTCAAGACCACCAAGATACAGAGACTAAATAAAATGAATTAGAATTTCATAGAGATAATTTGAAACAAAGAAAAATACAATGCAGCACAATAAAAGTGCACGAATTTTAAATAAAAGATTACATCTGATAATACTTGGCTATTTCAAAATGAATGCAATTACAATTCTAATGGATTCCTACCCAGTAACATACAAGTCTTATTTCAGGGTTGCCACTCAAATCTGGAAGAAGAAAAATTCCATGTGTTTCTGTTTTACCTTTACATATTATGCAGAATATATTAAAAGGAAACGCATAATCACTGTGCTGTTGAGTGAGTGAGTTATAATATGCTAACTATACTAGTTTTAATAGCTGGAAAAACTTAAAGAAATAAGCAACAGCTAAGCATACTTAATAACAAATAATGCTTTAGAAAATGAAATACTTTAGTGTAACTGAAATATCATTCTCAAATACTCGATAGATTGCGTTTTGAGTGGTCACCACTTTAAAAAGATGAAAACAAGAAATAAAATTCACTGTATTTTCCCAGTTCATATGGAAACAAAATTCATTCAAAATATTTTCTAGCTATTTTAAATGCCCTGTTTGTATGGAAAATAATGGTTGCCAAGTTCTAGAAGCAAGAAACTAAAAGGAAGAAGAAAAAAAGAGTGCAACAAACTAACAGCTACACTCAGACCACCACTTTCTAATTTAAGTACAAGAGCTGATACCAAGGCAAGTTCAGTTGACCACTATAGATAGGTACTGATATATAAACATACCCGCTTCGATTTCATTCATTAACAGTAGCAGTGGTGACTATGTTTATGATGTTTTAACTATTTCAAGGTCAACATGAGAGATAGGTTTTGGCTCAGGTCGGTGAGAGAAAGGAAATTTTGCTTCTTTGGTCTACTCCAAAGCTCCTCTCTTTCATAAGAACTATTTCTTGTTTCCACAGCAGCAGATGGCTTTAGACTCAGCAGTACAAAGCTTTATATAGGCACACTATACTTAACTATATATTTTTGGTACATTGAATATTTCATTTGGAAGTATTATTTCATAACCAATGTTGAACAGCCGACCAAACTCTGAGTTTAAGAGTACATCATCGTTCTACTCTGTAGCCTTGGAATGCTGAACTCAACCAAGTCAAGGGAACTTCTGGATCAAGCAATGGAACAAACTAGCCTTCGTGGAGGACTTTTTGGTGCAAATTAAAATCAAATTCAAAAATCTTGCAATAACAGCTTCTTCCATAGCAATTGCATAAGCTAAATAATCTAGAGCAGCACCACCATATTTTTCTAATTTTTTTCTTTACAAAGACAGATAATATACTTTTGGTACATTGAATATTTCTATTAAATTTAAATAGAAGCTTTATATAGACAGACTATACTTAACTATATACTTTTGGTACAAAATATTTTATTTTAAAAACTGTTTTTTCATTTTTTTATTTTTTTATAACTGGTGTTGAACAGCCAACCAAATTCTGAGTTCATGACTATTATTGTTCTACTCCATAGCCTTAGAATGCTGAACCTAACCAAAAAGACAAGGAAACTTCCGGATCAAGCATTGTGACAACCTAGCCTTCGTGGAGCGCTTCTTGGTGCAAATTAAAAAATCCTGCAAAATAATACTTAAAACCACAATAAATGTGAATACTTACATTATTGACACCCATGATCACACCACAAGATGTACAGCCTCTAGATACTTCCTCCATAGCTATTGCATAAGCTAAATAATCTAAACCAGCACCTCCATATTTTTCAGGTGTAGATATGGCAAGCATACCAAGTTCTCCCAACTTTTTTACCTAATAAGAGAAAAATATATTTTAATCTATATACATAAAAGTAGAAGGGCAAGCACATGTTAATTACTTTTTTATACAGTGTGCTCTGTAATAATTACTTTTAATTTGAGTCTAAGAAAAAAAAATATGTCTATTATGGGTCACAAATATTTCACAAAGACACAGATTAGTCAAGATACTTAGATCAGGGTTGAAAAAGAGCCTTACCTTTTCTGAAAAAGGTAAAGTTACAATTTTTTTTACTTTAATTTTATTTATTGTTATTTTAAATTTATTTATTGGGAACTATTCAATTAAATAATTTGAGTTAAGTAAGTTATGTTATTAATTTTAATAAAATTGAGGCTCCATGTTTACGTTGAAAACCAGGCAATTTTGTCCGAAATTGCTCCAAACCTATTTCAATGTTACTCTAATTCACCCTTACTATGTTCTAAATTGATTCCGAATAATTATTTTTTATTTTTTAAATTGTACTAAATTTTCTGTAAATTATGCATTTTCTATAAAACTATTCATAATTTATTCGAAACAATTCATATATTTTGCTTTAAAAGTTGGACAACAGGTAATTATAGTTAATTTTGCTTTATTCATATATCACACACTTACGTTGCATTAAAAAAGTTGATTTCTAATGC